GCACACTAGTGTGCCGCGGCACAGTGGTTGAAAAACACTGCTCTAATGCTGATAACAGAGGTGGGTTCCTTCCGGTTCAGCCGAGAGTAAGTAGTAACTCGGCCTGCCACGCCCCCGGTGGTGCCCATGGCGGCGCCATATTTATTGTTTCTATGCATGCGCAGAACCATTTTTTAGTACTGTGCTGAACGAACAGGCAGTAGCATCAGCCAGAACCCACCCCTGGCTTATAACCATGATTTCTACAGCATCTGCACAAGGGAGACATCGAAAGTCTGAAGAAATTCCTTGCCATGCATTTAACCTGCCAACTCTTCACTTTTGGGTATATATCTACTGCCACTGTCCCTTCTTTACGCTGGTAACTGTCATTATCCTCTAGCAAGAAACTACAGCTCCATTATTATTATTTTTTGCAAAATTTATATGAGCAAGCCCGTTGACCTACTAGATTTTTCACTCCTGCCATAAAATAAACCCTTCTTAAATCCATCCTTCAAATGCCAATGTTACCAAGTAACATTATTCGCAAAATACACGCGTGGAAAGAACGAGGCTTTGCAATGAGGAGGAGGAGGCAAAGCCTAAAAGGGGTACCTGTTTTCCGGAACTGTATCCTCCACCTCTGCCACTAAGACGGTCTTTTACCAATGACCGGACAGCGCTTAAAGCGGCATCAACAATAGAATCGCTGGTCCTGGCTCCTGAGACACCAAAGAAAAAGTGTGATGCTGAGCAATCATAAAGACTCCGCATATATCAATATTTACATATTTGTTCCAGTAGCAGCATCTACCGTTTCAGCCTTTTAAACAAAAGGGGGGTGAGTGGGGAGAGGAACCGATGGGGCAGCTTCTTGGTGCTACATCAGGAGAAATAACAGGAGGCTTCGGCCTTGAATTGGAAACCCAGGTTTTAAGTAACCAGTATGCTCCCTGCAATGGGGGTGGAGAACCTATGCTTCTGGAGGTTCTGAACTGTAACTCCCACCCAGTTCAGCCAGAAGGGAGGTATGCTGGGAATTGGAAGTTCAGCAGCATCTGGAAGACTACAGTTCCCTCACTTCTGCTGTAGAGCAAATACTCAGCTCGTGTGTGTGTGTGTGTGTTGTATTTGTGCTGATAAATAAATAAAGGGAGACTAGTATAGATCTATTTCAAGCTATTTAGCTCTCATCAGCTAGCCATACCCTTACTGGGATTTGAACCTGCACTGTATTACATATTAGGCAGTTATATTAGCCACTAAGCCACAGGCTCTCCTCCTTTATCAGCTAAGCCAGGGAAATAGGTATCTATTGTGTCACAATCCCTGGTATGCGCAAATATGGGAGGAAGCATGTGCTTCCTCCCATATTTGNTGTCTCCTTGAGTGAACTTGAGGAAGTGAAAACCGAACTGCAGAAAAAGAGAGTCTTGTCATAATTTTTAAGACAATATTTTATACTCATGTTAAGGATCAGTATCAGTAGCTTTTTGCCCTGCCAGTTCAATTGATTCACTTTGGATGAAGTGGGAAGCGTCCAGTTACAATGACAAATTCAAGCGTCAACAGGTGTGTGAAGATCATGCAGCTGAATGCTTTTTTCTTTGCTGTTTATACACAAGATTGGTTTATTCTACAAGTGCACTTTGCTTAAGCCCTATTGAATATAATTTTTATTTTTTATCTATCTCTTCACTTTAGCTGAGCTCAGTTCCCGGTGACCAGAAGGCTGTACCTGATCTGCATCTTAGTATCCCAGGTCTGCCATCTTTGGCCTGGCACCTCACTGGCATTCTGCCCTCAAAGGCTATGGGGAAGGACATTGGGCATGGGGAAAAATGGGCAATAAACCTGTGTGAGTAATGGATGGGAAATAGGGAGGGGGGAATGACAGCTTGACAAAGAACACAGAAGCTCAGAACCAGTTTCTGCCAGCCATCAAGGCTATGCATCACGAGGAAGAATGTGGATTACCCCAAACAACTCAGCGCTCTCAAATCACAAATGTGAATCTTCATTAGCTGAAGACAAACTGGTCATGGAGGGAGGGCAGGGATGGGGGAAAATATTTTGTATCTTTTTGGGTTGGAAACTTAGTTCTAGCTGACTTTACTGCAGCCTGTAAGTTTTAGTAAATGAACCTATCTCTTACACTTTGGCAAAAAAACCCAACAACAAACAAACCAGAACACAAAATACAACTTGAATGGATATGACCTCATAGACAACCCCCACTCTGTCAGGGACCTTGGAGTACTCATCTCAAATGATCTAAGTGCCAGAACTCACTGTAATAGCATTGCCGAAAAGGCATTAAGAGTTGTTAACCTAATCCTACATAGCTTCTTCTCCAGTAATATTGAACTGCAAACCAGGGCATACAAAATCTTTGCTAGACGAATTCTTGAATACAGCTCATCTGTCTGGAACCCACACTGCACATTGGATATTAATACAATTGAGTGAGTCCAGAGATATTACACAAGAAGAGTCCTCCACTCCTCTGCTCACAACAGAATACCATATGACACCAGACTTGAAATTTTGGGCTTAGACAACTTAGAATTTTGCCATTTTCAATGCGACTTAAGCATAGTACATACAATTATCTGCTGCAATGTCCTACTTGTCAATGAATACTTCAGCTTCAACCACAAAAACACATGAGCACACAATAGATATGGTAAACCGCTCCAAACCTGATTGCAGAAAATACGACTTCAATAACAGAGTGGTCAATGCTTGGAATGCACTACTTGACCCTGTGGTTTCTTCCCCAAATGCCCAAAACTTTAACCTTAATCTGTCTACTGTCGACCTCACCCCATTCCTAAGTGGTCTTAAGGGACGTGCATAAACCCACCAACGTGCCTACCATCCCTGTCCTAATATTCTCTTGTATTCGTATCCATTCCATGAATTCATAATTATTTGTATACTTATATCTGTTACCTAATTCATGCTTGATAAAATAAAATAAACAAACAAACAAATAAAAATAACTAAATGAAGTTGAGCGTCTTTCTTTTTTTAAGGGAGCTACCTGGGGCAGGTCTGGCATTAGAAAACTTTTGGGTCTGTAAGGCTCTCCTACACCCTCCTACACCACTCAACTGGGATAGCTACAGAGCACCCTTACTCCTTCCCTCAAACCATGCTTGAATCATCTCTGGTTTGTTCAGTTTTCCATCTCAGTCTTCTTTCTCTCTTCCACCCATCCCTTGTGCTTTTCTTCCTGTACTACAGGTATGGTTGTTAGTTCCTTTTAAGAGCCACAAAACCCACTCCATAAGGAAAGAAAACTCACAAAATCAGCCTTCAGTCTTTCTTAAGACAAAGATAAACCTTGAGAAGAGTATAACTGACATAATTTTCCTGTGCTGCTATGTAAGAAGTCAAGGGAATAAACCATCAATGTGATTCACAAAATAAACCAAACTGAAGCATGATTACATTTACAAAGAAGCTATTAGGAAAGAAATCAACCAGGAAAGCATTTCAAAAATACCTTTTTGTCTGTTTGCAAGGTGTGTATAAAGAAATTCATCCTGATACATAAAATATAAAACATGAATTCAACTGTGGCATCAGTTGTGGTCATTTGTAGTTCCACAAATCGTGCAGCCCTGATTTTCCTCAAGTACCTTTGCCTTAATCTTTGATTTCTCATGATTTCTGCTTGTTCTATACTGCTACCCTACCTGACCCGCTTACCTGTGGAACTTTGAAGATGCTGAAGATGGAGGCCATCTGCCTTGAGTATTGGGAGNTCCTCAACTCATTGATCCACCTGACATGGATCTACACTGGAGACATCAGGATGTCATTTGGACCATTTTAATTTTCATAGCCAAACCCCTTTCTTTCTTATATGATTTTCTCTTCCATTATGACATGCATAAATATGAATGCATCTCATTAGTTCTTTAACTGCAGAGATATCTCTTCCACTATTCTATTGGAAAAGACCCATTTCCAATTTAGTAATTAACACAATAGTGACATTAATTCATTCATTCAATTCCTATATCTGCTGAATTAAAAAAAGAGAGGCTTACTGTAACCAGTAAAAGTGCTTGATAAGTCATCATTTAATGAACATGTTCCTCCTTCTTTTTCATGTTTTAAAAATGTCATCCGACAGTAAACATGTCAACAAATAAATTTGAATATTTCCCATTAACTAAAGATTTTTGTTTCTTATCATATTTTCCCTACAATTCAAATCGGGCCTCAATAGGATAATGTAGCATTTGGGAAAAAAGATACAAGCCAAGAGAGCAGCTCCAGAGGCCAAAATGGAGAAGATCTCCACGGCCACCATAGATTTCCCTTTGGTACTCAGGTAGGTGGGGAGGAAAGTGATCCAAACACTGCAAAAGATTAACATGCTAAAAGTAATGAACTTGGCTTCATTAAAGCTGTCAGGCAATTTCCTAGCTAGAAATGCCACGGTGAAACTGACAAGGGCCAAAAAAGCTAGATAGGCAAGGACAGCATAAAACATTGAAGCTGAGCCTTCATTACATTCCAATATGGTCTCTCCTATCAAGGAGTGGAAGTCCAAGTTGGGAAAAGGGGGAGACATTGCCAACCAGGTGGCACAAAGACCTGTTTGGATCAGGGGACAGCCTAAGACAATGGAGTTGGTCAATGGTTTCCCTAAGAATTTCCTTGACCTGTTCCCAGGCTTGGTAGCCATGAAGGCTAGAACCACCATGACAGTTTTTGCCAACACAGAGGAAACTGAAAGGGAAAAGAGAATGGCAAAGGCGGTTTGTTGTAAGAAACAGGTGAAGTTCCCGGGTCAACCAATGAAGAGGAAGGAACAGAGGAAGCAGAGCAGGAGGGAGACCAGGAGGATGTAGGTGAGATCTCGGTTGTTGGCCTTGATGATTGGTGTGTCACGATGGTTATGGAAAATTGCTAGGACTGCCAATGTGATAAAAGAGAGAGAAAGAGTAAGAGATGCTAAAGTGTATCCCAGGGTGTCTTCATAGGAGAGGAAGTGGATCTTCTTGGCTATGCATTGGTCCTTGTCCTTGTTGGGATATTGGTCTTCTGGGCANTTCCACCCATTGCTTCTTATTCCATCCATGCATTTTAATAATTGCTATTTGTTTTCTGCTTGCTATTTATTAATTTACTTTGTTTTCAGATTTTGGTATAAGGGTGATATGGACCTATTTAGTAAATTAACCAAGAAATGTCCATGGGAAGTTCTAAGAATCTATAGACTGAATAACATTACAAAGAAATTACCTGCCATGACTGTACATTTGCGATCCTTTTTCCAAGCCTCATCATGGCTGGTTGTGCTCCTGATCCATGAATTGTATGTAGTGCATGTGCCACAGCATGAATGGCATTGTAGATGTTGTAACTGTCACCTGTCATGCTTGTTTCAAACATGTAAGATGGCACATTCTTTAAATTCTCCTTTCCTGTACAGTGTTCTTCCCCCTTTGGAAGAATCAGTCCTGGTCTGTGGATCTTGCAGCCAAAAATCCTTTCCCACCACAGAGGGAGAAAGACATCTCCTTGGGGGTTCAAAGGGTCTAAAGACAGAAGGACATGCCTGAATTCTGGGATATCATGGCTATGATCCCTGAAATGCAAACTACCATGGAAAGGCTTTAGATATTTCAACGTTTTCTGAGACGCACTTATTTCCCAATGGGAAGTCAGGATCCAAACAACTCTAATTGCAGAATTACCT